TGCGAGCAGCAGGGGCGTCAGTCACAGCGAAAAGAGATCGCAGCTTGGCCGCTCACCGCTCGTCGATCGCGCCCTCTGCTCGCAGTCTAGTTTTCAAAATAAATGAGTTGTTTGTCATTGGAGGGCGTGGCCTATTTTTGGTATTGTATACATAATATGTTAAAAATCCAAGCATATATTTACCAAGTTTACAAAGCTATCCAAGATAAACAGAACAAAACGCAACATTAATACATGGAACTGTGTTGTTGCTTTGACTGAATTTCTCAAAAAAAAAAAACCTGTTTCAAAGTTGTAGGCTAAAACAGGTTCTCGTGTAAAAGGAGTTTTAATGCACAATTTTTGTCTAACATTTTCAGTTAATCTATTTTTTTCTTAAAATCTAGGTTCTTAAAAAGGGTTTTTACTGTACCTGTAATAAATTCAAACATTGCAATAGTCTAGCACACTCGAGTTATTTTACGCGAGGTATTTTGAGCATTTGACGTCATTTTCCTAATTCTCAACCAGGCTATAATTGGAACGAGATAAAGAAATGGCGACTGCAACTTCTCGGAAATAAAAATACAAATAAAAAAAAAAAAAGATTTCTGATGGTCGTAATGGATTGATATTTAGCAAGGTATTTTAGACAGTCACATTTTACACGAAATCATAAAAAATGGATATGGATAGTTTGATCGTAGTAACACTTTAAAAACATTACTTTCCCCCTACACTTCTGGAGGTGGAAGTCTACGAGAAGTTTACATTTACCCACTTTTGGTTTAGCAATTTATTAAAGCTTTGAATATCTATCATCTTGAGGCCTCCTTTATCGTAATCATTGATCATTTGTGTCCTTTTAAGTTTGTCCCCTTTGCTTTCCCAGAGAAAGTCATATAGCAGGGTATCGGTTTCCTTAAGTGCACCCTGATGCGTTGGAAGAGAGGTTAAAACATGTACAATTTGGGATACTGCCAAAGCTTTTATTATCGTGATTTTACCTAGAAGAGTGAGTCTCCGCGCAGACCAGCTGCTTAGGATGTTTTTTACTCTCTCAATTTTCTCTGAAAAAATGGCATCGCCAGAACACATCAGAACGCTTTAAAGGTAGTGCAAAATGCGATGGAAAATTTGGAGCTATGCGATGTTTAGAGAATTTTTAATCCAAATGGCAAGAGGATTATCTGGAGGCAAAGACAACTAGATATTCATTGCAGACTTGATTTTGTTTTAGTAAGTCAAACTACAGTACTTACCCGCTTATAAGAATCTGAGTTCTCGGTTCTAAATGTACTCGTAGGGTGTACTCATGTGAATTCTAATTCAAAACCAACATGTACATACTACTGTTTTTCATACATTATTTATACCAAATTTAGAGATTTTTATAGTTCATACATGTTTAAGTTCACTACTTTTGAGAGTCATGTCTTTTATCTTTGCCTGAAGATCTTTAAGGTTTATTTTCTAAAACAGGAACCTGTTTCAAATTTAGGCTAAATAGGTTCTTATGTAAAGGGGGTCTAAATTGATATTTTTAGGCTAACAGGTTCGTGAATTCTAGGTTCTTATAAGCTACTGTATTTCCGATAGGTGGGTGCCGCGGAGTTCCCTATTTAAGGATAAAAAATTGATACCGTTGTTAAGGCCCAAACCCCAAAAAAGACGCCTTATTCTAGGTAAAATAACAATCATGAAAAAAAAACAAACAAACAACGGCTGACCTCGCACTGCAAAAAGAAGTCTTTATGAAATCGCTTTGCTTATGAGTTTAACCGCCTAGTTCAGTTTCAAAAGATCATTTACTTTTCGTTTAGCTTGGCAGTTACACACTACAGTTTTAGCTGATACAATTTAGGTGGATCCTATTACGGACATAAACTGGACAGTTAATATCGGTAACGTTGTACAAGCAATATAACGTTAAGGACCTGTTAGAGCTATAGGAGCTAAGGAATAATAATCATTTTAGGTATGTTGGATTAAGGGCAGCATGACATCAGGGATAAAGCATAAGCCGGGTAGTTTTAGGAATAATAGAAATACGTTAAGGCACAACATTAGTTACACAAGAGCGACCAACTTTACGATGTATTTTTCCATTACCAAATCGGAACATATATCGAAAAAACCTCGCACTCTTTCTTAGCCTATTTTCTTCTAAGCGATATGGTCGGTAAGTGAACCTATACTTGGCCGATACTTGACCGATACTTGGCCGATACTTGACCGATACTTGACCGATACTTGACCGATACTTGACCGCTACTTGACCGACACTTGACCGACACTTGACCGACACTTGACCGATACTTGACCGCTACTTGACCGATACCTGACCGATACCTGACCGATACCTGACCGATACCTGACCGATACCTGACCGATACTTGACCGATACTTGACCGACACTTGACCGACACTTGACCGACACTTGACCGACACTTGACCGACACTTGACCGACACTTGACCGACACTTGACCGACACTTGACCGACACTTGACCGACACTTGACCGACACTTGACCGACACTTGACCGACACTTGACCGACACTTGACCGACACTTGACCGATACTTGACCGATACTTGACCGCTACTTGACCGCTACTTGACCGATACTTGACCGATACCTGACCGATACTTGACCGATACTTGACCGATACTTGACCGATACTTGACCGATACTTGACCGATACCTGACCGATACCTGACCGATACTTGACCGATACTTCACCGATACTTCACCGGCAGTTGATCGCTACATATCGGCCGATGCATCGGCCGACAGTCGGTCGATATATCGGTTGACCATCGGTCGACTATCGGTCGACAATCGGTCGACTATCGGTCGACTATCGACCGATAGTCGGTCGATTGTCGACCGATAGTCGACCGATATATCGGTCGACTGTCGCCCGATATGTCGACCGAGTCCACCTATAGTACACATGATCCGTCCGAAGTGCTTACTGATTTATCTAACTACTGTCTTATTTTCTCACATTGATATTAATCTCAAAAATCTAACTTTAATCCGTCTTTTGCCTGTAGTTTCCATGGAATTTCGTTTCATCCGTAAGACAGATTGCTCATCTCTTAGAATTTATACTTGATTACATACTGAACAAATGTCGAAAAGATCAATTTTCGAATTTTCTGATTATACTTGTTTCGACCTTAACTGTCTCTGATTACACACCGTCTCACCGTTAAATGTATAATTTATAATGTAAAGGACTGCAGCAAATACTGCTTAACAGCACAAAAACTTACTACGAAGTCCTTACTAAATGTCTTTCAGCTTCAGTTTCTCGTAATTTATGAAACGTTGTGTTCTCTACATCATAAAGGAATCTCCAAGCAATATTTTCCTTATGGAATACTCGAGCTGATACAGCAAAGGACTTTCCACAATTTTTTCGCCCTGCAAATTGAAGATCCTCTTTTCATCAAGACCATCTGGGATCCAGTCATCATTGGCTCTTTCCGTCGCCAAGTATACGATTATCAGTTTGTCAATAAATTCTCTGTTTCCCGAGAACTCTTCATGTATTACCTTTCCGTCAAAAGTAAGGAAGTCGTCGTCAGCCTCTTGTTGTTTACCTTTGATTAGGGAAAAGGCATGTCGTGATCCGACCAAAACGACGCAGTCCCCGTTGCAGCGAAGTTCATTCCTGAAATCCCGTTTCTCTGCTGAAATTTCACCAATACTTCTTAAATCTGCTATGTTTCGTAGCCTACCTTGTAAATAATCCCTTAGTTTCCTAGCTTTGATTTTATCGCTTTCAGTGTATAGGAACATGACGTATTTCATTTTGGATGGTTGGTGGATATATAAGCCGAAAAATTACCGTCCACCGATGTTCTTTGACGGAACTTTTTCCACGGAAAGATATCATCAAAATATGATACGAGAAACTCTAGGTGGGGCAGCCTTCATGAGTGTAATTTATACCGATGGCAAATGTGTGAAAACATCGACTGCTTGTAAAAAGTATCTTGAGAAGTATAGCCTCGGGTCTGAATGTCCCTTTTCAAAGTAAGCAAGTGCGAGGTAATCTTGAGCAGCTTTCCTTTGAGGTGTTTAAAACCGACATCTTTCAAACCCACAGAATAAATCACCTCCGAAACAATTCAGCAGGCGCACATAGAAATGCCATGTATGCGGTGTTTAATATTGGCTGTGTTTAATCGACACCGAAAAGAGAAAATTATTGGCCACGATTGAAAAGAAAATTTGAGTTCATACATTCTTTCATTTTGTGATCACTCCCACTGACTATTTATTGTGAAGTTCGAGGCGCTTTCTTTGCATTGATCGGTAGAAGATAATGAAAGATGGCGGCATTTGAATGGAAACAAGTTGTTTAATGACGCCTTCACAATTAGAGAAACTGATGAAGAATAGTTATTGAGAAAGTCAACACGGAAACTTCTCATGAAGTGCTATCAAAAGCAGACGACCATTTCAATGTTTGGAATGATTATTCAGGGTTGAACTGGCAATTTTGATGCTACGGATATCAGTGCGCTCAGCCATTAATAAGAAAATTTATCGAAAAAGCTGGTTAAAAAAATTGAGACATCTTTCAGTTTGACCAATCTTAACCCCATTGCCTGTGTTTTTAATATCCATTATTTTTTATCCTTTGGCTTCAGTGATTTGTTTCTAATTTGTGTCTTCGTAAATTTTATTTTGGCTGCTACATGTCTGAATAAAGGTGTAAAGATTTTGCGTCACAGGACCTATTGGATGCCACGGGGCTCTCAGAAAACTTACCAAGAAATCCCGGGGAACAAGGTTGATTAATTTTCCCTTTCCACGAATCACCCTTGACGCTGGTCAACAGGACTGCAGGACACTCAACCCAGTCGATTAGGCAACTTTTTACCGGCCAGAGCGGAGAGGATTCAGGGAACAAAATTATCCCATTTGCCTTTGAACGAGGAGATTGCAAGGGATAGAAAAAACTGTATGAAGGAGGAATTCAAAGTTGTACGTTGTCAATGCATATGTTTTGGATGAAGCTGGTCATATGTAATTCAGAAATGAAAAGAGAAGGGCAAGAATTGTTGGAGCGCAACGGAGTGGAAAACAATAACAAACAAGAAGCTCAGCCTGAAGTTGATAATCATGAAGATGTCTTGGAAAATGATTATGATAGAGAATTCTGGATTAAAGTAGGCATGACTGAATGTTAAAAACATATATTCTAATAGGTCTCGATAACGAGTTGAATCTTGCGGCAATCGTAAACAGTATTAATCTTCAGCGTAAGGTTTAACGAGTTAAAACTGAATTTTGTGCAAAAAGGAAATTTTAATCATCAAGCTACGTATATCCAAAATAAGTGCTTCCTAATTCGTTATGTCTCTCTCAAGGAAGCCTTAAAATATATTTCATCATTCTAGAACTCACGGTACAGAGCTATTCAGGACATGATGTATGACATACAACACGAAGCTGCCCATGAGCATTTTTAACAGCATGTACTCTTGCAGGTTCGTTTAAAGCAGAGCAATGGACTTTCATGGAGTAGAGCTATGGATGAAGTTACTGTTGAAAGACTGATCCAGAAGTACAAAGATAACGGGGAACTGGATGATGAGGATCCAGCCCTTTTGATGTTAAAACAGTGGCCAGCATCTAAGCAGTACATAGATAATCCTGAAAAACTTCCAGGCCTTGAACAGAAGGTATATGTAAATCATGATTGGATCAAATGTTAATTATTAACAGTGTGCATGGAATGCTACTGGCGGGGAACAAAATGACAGTGAAATCTGAGAAAATTAGGCTTACTGTGCATAGATAAATATCAGAAAGCAACTTTTTGCATGGGTGGTTAAAGGTCAATACAGCAAGTGAATAATGAGGGGAAAAAAGTTTCCAATAGACTTTCAATCCTAAAAAGGAGATGATAAGTTGCATTATTTGACATGAATGGCTGCGCACACTTTTATTGTAAAACATTTAGTAGAAATCCCAGGTTAAAGGCCTAATGTGACAGCTGAGCAGGCCTGAAAATAAGTATGATCCAAGTGAGCTACAAACTAGATGAAGAAGGAAAGAAAAGAAAGAGCAAAGGTCTTATGATAATTTTTTTTTTTTAAGTGAGCAAGCTAGATTAACATTGGCCAAATGGGAAAATATTTAGTTCTCAGACATGAGACAGGGACCTGTTTGTTGCACTCCGTCCATGCACCATGACCTTAAGCTAAAGGTTTCCTGCCTGGCCCTCCCACTCAGTCAAGAAGTATATATCACCAGTGTAGTTGAATTACATAGTATAATGTGGACATGTCTTCTTGCAGATAAATCAGCTTTTGGAGATAATATTGCAAAGTGAAATTAACTCTTGCAATAAATACCAGACATTCAGAGATGAGGAAGACAAAACAAGAAAAACATTACTACATTATGCTGCAGAACTTGGATTTTTAAATGTCAGCAAAACACTTGTAAATAAATGTCCAGTGTTACTAACCTTGAAGACAGAGTATGCAAAGGATAAAAGGTCTATGTTACCTGTTGAGTTGGCTTTAGTAGCAGAAAAAAGATGAGGTAGCTGCCTACTTGATCAGAATAATGTGGCACGAAAGGTACAATGCTCACTAAAAAGGTTGACACTTTTAAGCACCCAGCTCTCCCTGCTTAGTTGCTCACCTTGAAAAGTCCAATATAAAAGCCTCATTTATTTCAATCCCTCAAAGGAAGCTTTGGGTCATGTCTTTAGTAGTTTTGTAGTTTTGTTTTTTGTAGTTTTGTTTTTTGTAGTTTTGTTTTTTGTGGTTTTGTTTTTTAAACCAGTTTTTCTTGAGGAGAGCTAAATTATTTTAGATAGTGAAAATTGGAATAAAGGGTTTTCTTTGGCTCATATGATGTGAAATTTCCATTTATGAATGTGTTATCTTTGCTGCCATCAGAGTCCATCAAATATTTTTTTTGAGACCATCTGATGTGACAAATCCTCAGCCATCTTTCTTCAATTTCAAGTCCATTATTGGTAATCCTAAAATGAAGGTGAGTGTTTTCAGTTTTTGTTTTTCAAATGTAAGATGCATCACTGATCTGTTTTCACCAAGATATTGAACAAATTATTTCAACACGTGTAAACAGATCTTATACTGTTAGTTTGTAATCTTAAATGCCTCTAGCTTATGCTTTTAGCCATGCAGATTGTCCAAGAATGTCACAATGTATCATATCATGTTTTATTGTACATCTAATGTAAACTTGCATAAGGAAATTTATTGCTGACATCTGCATGTGTATGATTTCCACAGAAAACAGTAGTAGCAGTACTAGACCAGATGATCAATCCTCACTGGCCACACCTTCCAAAACGCAAGGATAGCTATGAAAATGAAAAAGAAAAGGAGGTAGTAGAGGGTGCCTGGCGCACAATCACAGATGATCCTTTGGACTATCATTTTTATTATCATATTTTGGATGGCGATGAGGGAGGACGGCCCCCAAAAGTCTTGATGCTAGGAGGACATGGACAGACAGAAAACAAATATTTCAACTGGAGAGACAAGTCTTGTTTGCATGTCATTGCAAAGAACAGGAATATGGTAAGCTTGAGGTGTTTAAAAAAAGCAATTATTCTGTGTGTGGTTATCCTGTGTTTGGAGAAACACATGCAGGAGTTATCCAAAATATGTGATTCTCTAGCTTGATATTTTAAGGGGTTGGAGCAAAACTCTCAGATTTTTTGGCTCATTTTCTGAGATACTTTCTTTTACTTATGTTTACCAGGTCAACTAGTTTAAATGTTTTGATTTGGTACAGGCAACACAATTTTTTGCTGTTCTAGTTGTAGGAAACTTATATTCTTGCTTAGACATTTCCTCTTTGGTTTCATGATTTTCCAGGAGGCTCTTCAACATCCTGTGGTCAGAATGTTGGTTAAAGCAAAATGGAAAAGTTATGGACACTTCTTTCTCAGGTGCATGTAAACCCAGAGGAAAAAAATTGGGTTACCTAAGATTGTTCCATCATTCAATTGAAAAAAAAAAAGAAATAGAAATGATTGTGTCCAAGCTTCTAGGAATGTATTGGAGCAAAAGAAGGGTTTACGGTGGAATTAAAGAGAAGAAATAGAGACTGAGGTTAGAGTAAGAATTTCTGGAGTATTCCAATCCATGTGCCAAACAATAGATTTTTTAGATGCCTGGATATGGCCTTCAGATCTGTTACTATAAAATGCTGAAATGAAGCACAAATGAAAGGATTATAATTTATATTTGTAATGTAAGATTTATTTATACTTACTAATAAGGTTGCTATTTATTTCACAGCCTTCAAGCAGCATTGTATGTGATCTTCTTGCTGTGTTTGTCATATTCTCTGCTGAGTGCTTCCACAACAGTAGACCCCACTCAATATGAGGGTGAAGCAGATTCACTGCGTGGTTTTTGTGAGATTTTCACCCTTATTATGGTGGTCTTTTACATATGTGAAGAAATTAATCAAATGAGATTGTAAATATGCAATTCTAGTGAGTGTAAAATCAGGTTCAAACACCATTTTTTGCCAAAGCTCAGGACATTTTACCATTAGCAAGTGTTCATGTAGGTTGATATAGATTAGGGAAGACTTGGTAGTAGTTAAGAGGTGGAATTAATTATTACTTTGAGCGTTTGCCCTTTGTCAGATTGAGTAGAGGTGATGGAATTGTTAGGTCATGGTAAGGTCATGGTAAGGTTAAAAACATAAGAATGAATTAATTGAATGAAAAGTGTTCTTTGCAAACTTTTAATCTGTCTGATTTCCCTTAGAGAGGGGAAGTCGTACTTCACAGAATGGATGACCCTGTTTGACTGGTCAGGCCTGTTGCTGATCCTGTGTATAATACCCTTACGGTACACACAAAGTAAAGCTCAGTGGCTTGTGGCATCTTTAGCTTTCTTGTTCAACTTCCTAAGGATCTTTAAGTTTTCCTGCTTGACAAGGTAAACTGCATCATAAGCTACGTTTGATAGGTTTGAGAGAATGTCAGCAAATTAGAACAAGAAAATTATATCTGTGAAACTTACTCACACAGTTGGCTTAGGTTTGGATTTTGGTTAACAAGCCTAATTTATAATTAGTGCAACCCCACCATCTTGGCACCTTCATGATGGAAATTTGGAAATTTTTAAAACGTCTGAACGAAAAAAAGGTACAGAATAGAAAGATTAAAAAAAGCGTCCAAGGAGAGGAGACAGACGGGAGTAATGGAATTAAAAGAATAAAGAAGATGAACAATTTGGTTAAAAAAGCCAAATGCTTTACATGGAGCCGACGCATGGCAACTGTTGAAAACTGTTATATTCTTATTTAGTATAATTCGAACATCATTATGTATCACATAACTTGTGTCCTTAATGTAATAGAACCGTGTATATTTTTTTTCAGGACAACCGGATTATACACAAAAACCTTGGCTAAGATCATTTTGCACGATGTGACAAGATCCATGGCGGTTTTTTTTGTTATCTTTTTCTCCTTCTGTGGTGCTTTGTCTTTATCGCTCTGTTACTCCGATGAAAACCAACAGTTTAGGTATGTCTCAATCTTGCTTGCTTAAATGCTACGGAATAAATGTGTGGAATTATTTGGTTGGCTGATGTTTACTCTGCACTATCTGCGAATTTTAGTTGGATGAAATGTACATGATAACACCTGAAGTGATATGAAATTTCTGTTAATGTGTTGCAGATCAGTCTATGTGTTACAGTCCATGCTAAATCCATTTTTTTTTACATTAGTGACTTCGGAGATGTGTTATTGAGTGGCTTTCGCGCGCTCTCTGAACAAAGACCAATTGCTTACGATTATTCAAATTTCAAGTGAGTTGATTTTTCTCTAAAAGGTCGAATATGTTTTTACTCCGTTTACTTGTTCAGATCCCTTTACCTTAAGATGAGTTTATTACCACTAAGATAATAGGTGAAACTAACCACGTAAGAGCATTTGATTTATTCCTTGCAGCTGGCTCTCCATTCTGTTAATGATGGCCTACATGGGGATCGTGATAGTGATTCTACTCAACATTCTCATTGCACAAATGAGTACGACCTACACACAGGCCAAGAAAGTCGCTCGTCTGGAATATGATGTGGATCGTATTCTACAACTCACACGCATGGAGAGATTTCCTTTTCTGGTAAATGAACATTCTTCGCTAATGGAATTGTAGCATTTTATCATTAAGCGTGCACCGGTGTTCGTGATTGACGCTAAGTGGCAGCGTGCATTAGCGCCATACGTGACTGTGAGCGTGAGGAGAAGAACGTACCGTTAGGGTAGGAGGGGGCTTAGGTATAGTTGTATTCTTCTGCAATTGAGGGGTGGCCTCATAGACTTAATTACTTTTACATCTTTTCTTTATGCAGAATCTGCGCGTGAAGTATTACAAAGAGGGAGACTGGATCAGTGAAATGAAACTCGCCCAAGGTCGGCGAGAAGTATTTAACCAGGACTACTTTCACGATAATTTTTATGCGTAGCAATCGGCAAAAACAGTTTTTTTTTTAGTCTTGTATCCTATTTGTACTTCTCTGAACGAAGGGAGATGAAGAAGACCTTCGGCTCAGTTGATACTCAGTTATAATAGAAAAGGAGTAATCTTTCTCATGCCTTAACAGCTGTAAGGTTCTTTATGTTCTTAAATTTGATCTTGGTTTGTTTGTAGATCTTCTTGAATTCAGTGAAGATCGCAGCCCTTGGGAGTCGGTGGAAGAGAGACTTACTGCGATTCGGTAACAATTAATTGCTTTATCTTATTTCCTATCTTTCCTGCTATCGGCCTAATTTTTGAACTCGTTCTCTCATTACTGGACTTTCGAAAAGATCGACTTCCTTGTACTCATCCTTCTTTGTTTCAGCAGTCATGTTTCACACCTTCTGTTTTATTTTTTTTGTACAGGGATATGATGAGGAAGATGGTGAAACAGATGAGGCCTGGAATCGGATGAATGGAGCTTTGTGTGCCCCAGTCCCCTTTTTATGCGCCGATTTCTTTAGCCATATAGCTCGTAATTTTTATACAACAACATTGACGCCATGAGATTGGTTGAAGGCTCTAAGCCTAATCTGCTTCTTTTCTTATTTGTTTTCTGTGGTATATTCGTAAGAAAACAAAAGAAAGGCTAATGAAAACAAAATAAGTGGACGTAAAGGGGCCAGTCAGTTCTAAAAGCCAAGCGTAATATAATATGCGTCTAAGCAAATCGATTGGTCGTAAATAAACGTTTAGTACACACAAAAAAAGAAAACACCACCGAGCTTTCTTAAAACTGTTTGAAAAGCTTCATTTTGTATCCGACACTCTTGACAGTAAACTTGAGTGTGATTAACATTGTATGCTTACGAAAAATGAAGGTCAGCTTTGAGAGAGTTAGCTTATAGAAATTACTAGTTTTTGCTTTGTTTTATATAACCACAAGACTTCTCCCACAGAATTATTTATGAAATGTGAGGCTAATTAGGAGATATTTAGTTTATACAGAGTTCTTTTACGGATACTTTTACGGATACTTTTATTGAAGAGTTTAGCGTACAATGAATGAAAATAAACTAAAATCAACAGGGACTATTGTGGGAAAGACTTCTTTGGGTTTCATTTCGAATAGAAGATTTTACCAGTAGCATTTTGCAAATTTGCTACGTCGTACTGTCAGTCCTACTGACTTCAAAAACTGAAATGAAGAGCTTCATCGTAATCTTAGTGGTGTTTATGTATGCAGTAGGAAGTCAAGTGAAAGGTCCTGAGTTGTAAAATTGGAATACGTGACTTGCACAGAAACCCTCTCAATACATTACCATTAAAAAAAAGCTTCTGCTGTAATCAACGTTAAAGGTCTCGGTTCATGTTAGAACTTTTTGTGAAAAAACAAAACAAAACCAAAAAATAGACAATGAAAACAAGTTAACAAACACTACGTCTATAGTAGGTCAAGAGGTTGTCAGTCTACGGCACTAGAGAAAAAGAATTGAAATTAGTCGGGGAGAATGAATCATCTGTCGCACACATGAAAGCTTGGTCCAATATATCAGAAAACTTAAAATCAGGAATGAGTGGCAAAGCCTCAGCGGGCTCTACTTTCGAATTTTGGCAAAAAAATTATATTTATTTCCCGTTCTCCCCCATCTTTATATTGCCTGGTGTTAACAAAATAAGTTACTTAATTTTTGCAACACTTTTTTAGGGGAAAAAAGGGACTTTTAAGTCACTTATCAGACATGGATTACAAGATTTCTGTTAATTATGTTTAATACATAGAGGGTTGTTGACTACCCACTTAAGGGAGGCGTTCCAACTGCTTTTGCCACTCAATGTAGCTTAGCCAATCGCCTCAGTAATGAGGCCGTAGATTCTTTTGATTGAACTTACTAGTGCAATAGGATTATTTCAAAGGGGCTCAATAGTTATCCATGAGCAAATAGGCTTAACAGTCTTTTTAAAAAACTTTGCACCTGTCGAATGATCGTTTCATTTCCAATTTTACTGCAATGCGAAACGTAAAAGAATCAGCCTTGTTAGGTTTATCATTCTCTTCTGGGGCTTTAAGTAAGGCTGAGGTCCTACTATCCATCTATTTTTGTGAAATTTTGATTTTATATGGCAAATTTTTACCTATATCAACATTAGCCTAATTATAGGTAGCCACCTGATTCAGACACGCATAGCTCTATTCGCTATTCGCTAACCTCTGTAACTAGAGATAATATTCAGAAAAAAGCCTATACCCGGGAAGGAGTATTTGAATTATTTTTAGCGTTTTGAAATTCCAGAGAGTTGTTTATCAAAGAGAAATACATTCCCTTCAATGGTTTCAATAAATGCAAGGCACTTTCACGGGCAAAAGATATGAAGTTTGTCATACACACTGAGATGGATCGCTCGCGGATTTTAAATAAGTAATTGGTACTGAACTAAGGCCTAACTGGAAAAAATTATTAGTGAAGTGAGTGTTAACGAGTATTGGGTTAGCAGTTACCGGGAGGAAGCCATCCTATATTGCCATATGATGACAATAACAAATCTAACAGATGAGGAAAAACAAACGGAAACATTTCAAAAAGAGAAGACATGCTCCCCTTCTTTGGCTGGAGGACTACAATATAAGACAATTTCTTATACCAACAGTCAACATTCTCCTTCTCATCACAGCATTTCATGGCAATTTTCTTATCCTTGTTGCCCTTCACAGGGAATCTTCCCTTCATCCGCCGTCCAAACACTTGTATCGTTGTCTGGCAACAACTGATCTGTTGTTGGTCTTGTTAGCCAGCCCTTCAATGCTGTTTATTGGATGCTCGTGGTTCACAAATGATAGCCAAGGGACGCAGCCTACATAACAGGCTATGCATTATGTGTAGCTCTGTGATGACGATGGCGGCCATAAGCTTGGACAGACTTCTCGCCCTGTTGTTGGGGCTGAAATACAGACAAATTGTGGCTTTGAAGCGCACATATATTTAGGTTTTATCTGATGCCGCTGTTTTAAGCTTCATTTTAAATTACAATTGGTATACTCACGTAACCAGGCCATCTTACTTATTGATATTAATCGCTTCGTATTGCAGCTGCTGTTACTGCTCTATGTACCATTTTTGATCACCGTATAACCTTTTTTATGGCATTCTAACTTTACCATCTTGTCTGGTTTTCACTAGCCTCGTACTCAAAGATCTTTCACACTCTCGGTCGTAATGACGCTTGAGTACAAAATCACGTTCAACATCAGCAAAGCCACCTAAACGCACCGAACGCAAGTACAGTTATTTTTTATTGTTTGTTCTGTGCCATATGGTGTTATGGAAATCGTTACCAGCTATAACAAAACATATTCATCACATGTAGCTATCTTTTGGGAAATAGCAGCTTCCATAGTTTACTTTAACTCAACGACAAACCCGTTGAAGTAAGACAAAAACTGAAGCAGATAATCAGACAAGCTCTCTGCCATCCATGAACTTAAATCCCGTTTGAGTTTCAATGGCCGTATTGCTTTACAAAGTTACAGTTACATTAGATATTCGATTTCATTAGCGTGCAAACTGTTGTTGGTATGATCTATTTCCATATGAAAGACAACGAACGATAACCTTAAACATCCCAAGCACATCATTGTTGAAGTGAAGACACTTATCTTCGATACAACAAAAGATGAATAAGAAGAAAAGCCTCTTGCACGTATGGTCTAGAAACAATTGCTTAAGTGATACCAATCCTCAATGAACGTTAACCGAGTAAAAAGGGTTTTCTTTATCATACTATTCAAAGATGATGGTAACGGATGTCTTCAAGCTTGCCTCTCAATTCTTATTGATACCTGAGGCATATGGAAAATTCGTGGAACAAATTTACCTTTTTTGACTCCCCACACGGTGTTTTTGTGTATTTCAGCTAGACAGGTGCTTTTAAGAACAAAAATCTCTCGATCGTTACAATTACAAGTAACCGTAAGGGAAAACGTACATCGTTTGCAGAATGATGGCGGCAACAAACTCAACGGAAGATGGAACGCAGATGAAAACATTTGAAGAACTTGTATGTTCCTCTTCTTTGGAGGGCGAATTGCGACAATACTCCTTGCGTCTGTCAGCAGTCATCATTTTCTTTTCCCTTACAGCATTTCTTGGGAATGCCCTGATTGTCGTTGCACTTCACAAGGTGGTTTCTCTCCATCCACCGTCCAAACTCCTGTACCGTTGTCTGGCAACGAGTGATCTGTTGGTTGGTCTTATAGGCCAGCCTCTCACTGCTACTCTTTGGATGTCGGTTGTTTTCGAACAGTGGAGACTTTGTCGATTCGCATGGGTAGCAGCCTCCATTTCAGGGTATGGATTATCTTTTATATCTTTGTTGACACTGGCAGCCATGAGCGTGGACAGACTTCTCGCCCTGTTGTTGGGGCTGAGATATAGACAAATTGTAACTTTGAAGCGCACATATATCATTGTCGTTGCTCTTTGGATTGTAACCGTTGTCGCTACTCTATGCGAGGCGTTAGGCTCTCATATAGCGCCCTGGTTCGGTCGAATTGTCATCCCATGTTGCCTATTAATCTCGATTGCTTCATATGCAAAGATTTTCCGCGTTCTTAGTCATCGTCAAGCTCAAGTACAACATCATGTTCAACTACAGCCGAGCCAACCAAATGCACTGAACATGGCGCGATACAAAAAGGCAGTGTACAGTGCACTGTGGGTGCAGTTCGTGTTACTTGCTTGTTATGTGCCTGTGAGTTTAGTGGGAATTGTGATGGCTCATAGAAAAGGAAATTCATCGCATTTAGTCTTCGCTCTTGGAATAGCCAATACTCTGGTTTATTTTAACTCGACTTTAAATCCGTTTCTTTACTGCTGGAAGATTAGTGAAGTAAGAAGAGCAGTTAAGCAGACAATCAGACAAGCGCTTTGCTGTCCAGGGGGTTAGATCTTCCATTACACCCTTTCTTAGTTATTTCAAGCGAGTACTTAGCGTGACGATGCTATTAGATAACGCATCCTGTCGGATATGTCATTTCATCATAACCATTATAATTTCCTCAAATGTGATAGGTGCATTAGCTGCTTTTTTTTTTTTGCTAATCATTCTGTAGAGCTGTAATTGGACAATGTAATCGGACAGTTGGCTGTAGTCGGACACCTGTGATCTGGCAGTTGAAGTAGTCAATCACACTAAGTCCACTCATCCAAATCCACCAATCACAGAATTGAACACAATAACCATAGCAACAACCACTTATCCTAAAAAAAGATATTGGTAATTTTTACAATGAAGAAATTTTTTATTTTAGGCATTGTCTCTACCGGGATATTACTCCTAAATGTATTTGTTATTTTCGGAAATTGAAACGGTTATGATTAATTGGTAACAGGACTTCTTGTCGTCCAATTCTGTCAGTAATCATATGAGCGATAAACAAATTTGTTAGTCACTCGTATGATTACAGAGCGAATTGGACTCCACTCAGTCCTATTACCATTACGAATAGGAAGAAGTAGGAAGCTTAATGTAGTCGCTGCTCAAAGCTGTTTAGATATTCTCATAATAGATCATCATGGCTCATTTTGCGCACGAAAAAGCAAAAATCATGGAATCTACACGTTAACGATATCGTAGGAATTTAAGAATAGTATGTTTCACGCGATAGCAATATCCGCCAGTGAGTACAGCAACTCATAGCCAAAAATAAATAATAACAATAATAAAAAAGATATGCCCGTATGAAATAAAAACAAACATTGGGTTTAAGCTTACATTTTAATGTTTTTTTTTAACCACTGCACTGATATGTAAGACAAAACTATTACCACCAGTCAAAGAGGGTTGTTGGATTATTTGACATTATTTGTTTATGAAGGTGAAATGATTTCGAAAATGTTTATTTTAACTGAGGGCAGCGTTTGACCTGACGCCACACTGCCATAAGGCCAGCGGTATAGAGATTAGCACTTGATTTGTCTTTATAAAGATGTCCACAATGCTTATGAATGTAAAGGTGCCTTATTATAAATAGTTGAGAACGACGAAAACGCAAAATTATTTGAAAAGTTTTTCTTTACATCTATCATGGGTTGTTGTTTTTCGTTTAACTGAACTGAAAGGAACACTTAATCATCTACCAGTTTAGCTCTCATCGAGTTTAACCCCATAATAAATTGAAGTTTCATTTTGCTTTCGAGGTAAAACAATGATATAATAAAACAAAGGTCGGTAAATCTGACTCTTAATGCTAATTTATGCTTTCATTAAATTTTATAATTTAAACAAACTTGCAGTTCTGTCTCACACTATTGTTTAGCAATAGACCTTAGCCTTTAACCTGTGACATTCAAGAGCAAACACTTAGAATAAAATATCATACAAAACTGCTAATCAACGAAGACATTTTTTTTACGTTTGTTTGATGTAAAAACTCCAAGGCACAACCGTGAACTCCAGGCAGATAAAACGCAATAATTATTAATCAAAGGACTTTCGAGCGCGCATTTTTAACCAGTTAAAGATGACTAGTTGGTGTTTAGCAAACACAGTACTCTAATTTGAAGTCAAACAAGTTATCGAATGCGTTATCCAACTGTTAACTTCCGGCTATGATCAATAAATTGTTTTGCTTCAGTATTGTAATATAACAATCCGTCTTATCGAAAGGGGATCGTTAATGGGGTAAGCAAATCAGTTGCATCCAGAAGAACTAATTTACCCGGCGTAGGCAATACAGCTGGCTTGATACGAAAAAAATTCCGTATCGTACTAACAACCAATGGCTTAAATCGCGGCTACTGTGGATAAACTTTATTTCCAAGTGTACGCACAGCTAAAGGACAGAGAGTTGCATCACTAACGGCAATACATGGGACGAGAAAGTTTCGTGCTACGGCAGTTATTTTGAATTTAACAGCTCATGATTTGATCGAAAAAATGGTTTCCACGTAAGGTAGTGCAAGAAACGGGCTAGTCTGATTTTACTCCTATATCTTAGTGATATGAAAGTACATTTATAGGATAAAGTTGACCCTGAAAGAGTAGTGAAGGAGAGACTTCCAAGTTCTTCTGTTACGGTTGGTGAAACAATTTCAAATTCTTAACCTCACTGAATGAAATAAAGCGCTTAAAGTAAGGCTTGTTAAAGACACGAAATTGTAATTTTATTGGAAAAAGTTCAGAATGTTTATCAGTGTGTGAAGATGCTTCTATAAATTGTAGGGGTATGAGATAGTTAGTAAGTAGGGGTATGAAATAGTTAGTAAGTAGGGGTATGAAATAGTTAGTAAGTAGGGGTATGAGATAGTTAGTAAGTAGGGGTATGAGATAGTTAGTAAGTAGGGGTATGAGATAGTTAGTAAGTAGGGGTATGAGATAGTTAGTAAGTAGGGGTATGAAATAGTTAGTAAGTAGGGGTATGAAATAGTTAGTAAGTAGGGGTATGAGATAGTTAGTAAGTAGGGGTATGAGATAGTTAGTAAGTAGGGGTATGAGATAGTTAGTAAGTAGGGGTATGAGATAGTTAGTAAGTAGGGGTATGAAATAGTTAGTAAGTAGGGGTATGAAATAGTTAGTAAGTAGGGGTATGAGAAGGAGTTTAACATTACAGGCTCTTACTGAGCGAGTTCTCTTAAAGATTGTCCTTATTTGTTGCTTACAATTACAGACTTATCCTAACGTGTTTAATGCCCTTTAAAAGGTGCCACCTGTTGTTTGTCTATTTCCTATTGTATAAAGATTTAAGATACATCTTAACTAGTGCAGTACTTGAAGAAGTCGCTAAGAACCGAGTTCCGGTTTTAAAGAAAAACCCGAGAAATGAAAACGATCAATAATTTAATAGACGGTGAAAATGTTTTCTCCGGCTTTTTTAGAGTGCAAACGCCAAAACGCAAACGCAAAAGCACTAGCGCTGTTGCGTGTTTCGTCTGTTTTCCTGCCAATCGGCTCATTATTTTGTGCAAAAGTGACTTTAAAATGCAAACACACGCGCACTACCTTCGTGATAACACAGTTCTATTAAAGATGGGGATGGAGATTCACAACACTTTAGCTGTGTCTTGTTGTGGGTATTGCTCAGTGTCTTGATTTCTTTGTATAACTGGCAAGATAGGAGTAAAATTTATTATCTAAAGTAAACGTGAATCGAATTTCAATCATTCAGAATTGATAACGATGATCATGACTGATTTTGTTTCAGACTTTTTGAGTTCAACCCAAGAATTCAAGACATAGTTCCCGCCTTTACGAGTTTGAAACTTGAAGCCGTAATCAACTCTCGATCGATCTCTGTATCTTCACGTCAGACGAGTCATGACTGCGCTGGAAAATGCTATGTTTTCTTTAAACGACGCAGAGGTTTTCATCGAGTATTCAATTTAGTAAGCTGTTCATTAACATTTTTCACGTGCGTTGCAAAATATTTTAAGGATAAAAAACGCAATATCGTCTATTTTTGCGTGAAAATATGTACGGATATATGTCCTTGGATATTATCTGTTCCTCGAGGCTCACAGCTTCCGCATCTTGGAACAGCAAATTCGAGAAAATGACCGCGGACAAATATCCGCACTTATTTTAGCGCCAAATTGGAGCAATTGTTTATACAGCGCTGTATGGTGATTTAAAATTCAGTAGAGGGAGGCATAGTGCTATCTAGGAGTACACATTGTTGTGAAGCGTTGTCTAGTTACTGCATTTTACGGATTTACAGTGCTACTCAGGGGTATAATGTTGTATTGTGCTGTATGATGATAAAACTTGCAGTAGAGGGATGTATAGGGACGGGGAAGAGGGGCATATAGGAGTGCGTATTGGAGGAGACATGGAGTTTAATAATCGACGGAACGTGTTTGCTCATAATGAATCTCAAGTTGTCATCGACTATCTCTCTAAGCACTATTGTAACTTATCCTTTCTTAATTATTGTTTTGTCAAAACTCTTCCCCAGGGTCTTCTCTGCGCCAACATCCGAGATGGCGGCTACCGACTCAGTAGAGTCCGGCTGTGGATTGGCCTGTCGCCATCTTGGATTCGCAATGTAGGTGGACCCTGGGCGAGAGTTTGACCCATTCCCAATCAGATGATAGAAGAAGCCTTAATTTGGACATTGAAGGACTCGTTTCCAACAAAATGCACCAATTACGTCGCAGAGACTTAGAGGGAGCTCTTCCGCTTTATAACTGCTATTATGATGAGAGGACTGAGGAGAGCAAGCACTGGCATCCTGTGAATTAGGAATCAATCGAAAGGAAAACTGAGATTTTACTAGAGATGACTTTAAGAGGACACCATCCCAAAGTGGACATAATACGCATGATAACAACTACTATGGGGGAGTAACGAGGTATATGAGTTGCAAGAAGCCTGACGTTGCGCGAAGATTGAGACGAATGAAAACTGAAACAGACAAGGAGATAGTCGCGTCCTATGAAGCGCGCAGAAGAATAAAGTTGAGGGCGATAAAAGAGGTGCGCGTAAAGATGGGAAAAGAGAAAAATTGCGATGAAAAAAAAAGAAAAAAGGGAAGGAACCAGAGGAAGGAGAAAAAAAAAAAGGGATGCGCTAATGTGAAAAGGTGTAAAAACTTGTGTGAGGAAAAAGATAAAAAAAGGCGCACACATGTAACAGTATGAACACGTCCGTCGGCGTTCAAAACAGTGTGGCAATACGGAGAACGATAGACAGTGAAAAAGACACAATCGAAGAGATGACGCGCTTTTCTTAAGGGGACGGGGGCTTGAAACATGTAATGTTAGTACACTATTAGCTACACACATTATTAACTTGGCGCGCGGGTCAAAACAAGCATTGAAGTCCCCATAGGATCTACTTTCTCTACATCTTACGTGCATCCTAAGAATATGGAGACAGACAGCGTAAATCAACGTAGTTTTTGTATTTTGTACACTGTATATTTCTCTTACACAAAGAAATAAAAAAAT